TTTTATCAGGATTGGACAATACCCTAGACAAAAGCTCCTCTAAGAAAAAGCATAAATCTCATAAAAAACACAAGAAAAGAAAACTTCATGATGAGAGTAGGAATGACTCTCAAGACATAAGTGAATCATTCACAGGAGATGATGATCTTGAGAAGAATGATGTGGTAGACAGTTCAACACAGAAATTGTCAGATAGATCATCACCACGGAAACAAGTAGATAAGTCGCCACGGAAACAGGAAACGCCTGTGACAAAGAAATATCACAATGCCAGCCAAAATGTGTCTGATGAGGAAGCAGGTGAATCAAGCGATAATTTAGTGACACAACCAGTTTTAAAGTAAGTGTTTAAATATTAGTAATAGATTAACTGTCTTTTTATAGGCCTGTCAAAAGACGGGACATATATGTTATCACCTGAGCGGGCAGGCGGGCATGATGTCCGTTGAATATCTCGAGTAATTTTCAACAAACTTCATGGGAAGATAAATGCCATTAAGAGCTCAGACATATCTTGATAACCACCCTTATCCGACTTTAATTGACTGACTTATGCCCCTTTAATCAGTTACTGAAACAGTACCGCTCAATATCTAAAAAAAAAAAAAATTTAAATAGAGAAACTTCAAACTTCATTGGAAGATTATTAACCATGAAAGCTCTGACAAGTGTACACATGTGATAACATTAAATATCAGACTGTATTGACTGAGTTATGCCCCATTATTCAATTGCTGAAACAGCTGTCCACTCAATATCTCAAATTATATTTTTAAAAAGTAAAAATTCAAACTTCATTGAAAGGTTAATTACCATGAAAGCTTACACAGGTGTGGTAACCATCATTATCCGACTTAAGCTTATTGAGTCATGCGCATGCCCCTTTAATCATCTGCTGAAACCGTGTTATGCGCGATATTTCATGTAATTTTCAACAGATTAATTTCAAACTGAATGAGGAGGTCAATTACCATGAAAGCTTGATAATTTGATAACCACCATCATCTTACTGAATTTACTGAGTTATGCTCCTTTATTCAATTGCCGAAACAGGGTCCGCTCTATACCACTATTAATTTTCAACAGATTAACTTCAAA